AATGAAATCCTGTCATTTACAGCAACATAGATGGAACTGGAGGTCACTTATTAAGTGAAATAAGCCAGGCACAGAACAACAAATCTTGCATATTCTCACTCATACACATTGTACATATGTACCAAAATATCATAGGTACCCCACTGGAGTATGTAATAGCAACAAAATTACCTGGTGAATTAAAATTTTGACAAAATATGTTGACATACCACTAAATGTTTTTCAGAAAGACATTAACGATAACTAATATACTATATTTCCTACATATTGTTTACGGATCATTTCTGTATCTTCAGAACAATCCCCATTGTGTGAATGAGAAAATTAAAGTTCAGAGAGACAGGTAATTTGCCAAAGTCATATAAGTAGGTGGTGGAAATGCAATTTAAATCGAGATAACTCTTTCTTCAGAACCTGTGCTCTAATTATCAAGAGCGTCCGTTTTTATCAGTGATATAAAAATTTCCATTTCATTGAACCTTACTGACCTAGAATATTAGCGTTATTTTCATCCTATTCGATTTGATGTATTTGAAAAATGGCTTGTTTTGATTTCCATTTCTTTCATTACTTATGAAGTTGAACATTTTCATGTCTATATGAAACTTACAGATACACAAAAGCATTTACGTTAAAATGAAATTCCATGAGTTTTGTAATAGTTCAGAAGAAAAAAGGTTACTATTTATTGAAAATAACACACACATAAAGGACTACTTCAGCTATAAGTATTTGCTACAGTAACACTTCATTTAAATTTAAGACGTGTATATGTTTTTCATTTTTTGTCTTGATGATATGCATGAATAATATGGTAAAGCAGAAAAGCTACCAGCTACTTACCTCATTATTTCCTCTCGATCTCCATGACTAGCATGTTCTGCCTGTATCTTCTGCCTTAATCGATTAATTTCTTTGTCCAGAATTGATGCAGATTTTTCTACTTCTATACGCTCCGGGCAGATCTGTCTTGCTTGTGACATTTTCTCCTAAGAAAATAGATGTTTAGATATTTAAAACTCTTCTTTAACAATTCATTATACTACATGTGCCAAAATATGCAAAGTAAAATTCTGAACTTACGTTTAAGAAATGTATTTTAATTACATTTAATATCAAGGTTATTTATATTTATCTAGGTTTTATATTGAAGATAAAGTCCAGGGGAATGACCCCAAGAGAAAACTGCATTGCTGTGTGTAACTTTACAAAGGTGCAAGATCTCCACAACTTCTTAGTGAAACAAATTTAATGTAGCAGTTCCGAAAAGCTTGCTACCCAGGGCACCGAGGTGAGAGGTAGGTTTCCACGTCCTTTAGGGTGGACTCTGAGCACCAATGGTATTAAAAACACAAAGACCCTCATGGGGTAAAGAATACAAGGCACTTTTACA